TTTTAACCCTTAAGTGATGTCCAAAATGTCACTCATGAGAATTAAAAATTTGATCGTTTCAGTGCACGTAAATACAGCATGTAAGATATAAAGTACGAACAAAGCTATGGTGGATGACAACCCTGAATAAAGAATACCCTGTACACCGACAGCGTATGTCATATACAGGCAGATATATATATTGAAAGATTTGCAATGCGTTGTATTGACATACCAAAGGAGCTCTCAGGTAAGATTTCACATCTCGAATTCTAATCGCTCATTTATAAAATCAGCTACCATGTACACAGCGTCTTACACGTAGTAAATTGGAAATCAGCTTACAAGAAATAGGATGTAGAAGAGACATATGGAATGATTGGCACCAGTGGTAAGTCAAGCGGCACACTTCAAGCGAATCAATAACCTGGTATCACATACTAAATCAATTTACGTCATAATGTCAGATGCAAATGGAGCCGAAATAATTGCTATGGATGTTCCTAGTTCCTTAAAGTCTCCCGTTAAAGAAACATAACAGGGGCGAAGTAGTGCATATGTCGTGTCGTTCATGAGGGCTAGACTGAAAGATTTGACACGTACCTTCTGAGTATAAATAGAATTGAAGGAAATGCTAGCAGTTTTTTATGTAGATATAGGATGAATAGGAAACAAACTGGCTTGCTACTTCCATCCATGGAGATTAACGCCTCCGGTAGGTTGTACGACAGTGAACGCAACCTCTTTAGTTTTCGAGGATCATGGTATTCCAGGATTACTGCGTATTGGAAATGATTGGCCAACATGCATTGATTTCATGAGAAGGATTCAGTCGCTAAAAATGACATACAATAGGATACATGTAGCTATCGATTATTTAAAATTTTTTTGAAGCTATGTAAACACATGATATTTGCATATCTTCAATTTACTGACTTTACGGGCAAGCATGTTGACTATAGTCAACATATAAACCGGTTCCACATGGTGATCTGAAATTAAGTTAAAATAATAGGAATTTTGACAGATTGATCGGAAGACTAAGAGAGAGATGGGAGGTTAACATATATTGATAGTAGCTGATGGAATCCGCATTTTGATAAATAATGGAATATTCTAGTTTTATTGCATGGTTACTGATAGAAATTGGAGCTAGTTTGGTACGAAAGCGAAATTCTGAATCGTTTGGCGTTTCTGGTACCATGTTAGTGTTCGCACGATGTCTGATATTATGACTTTGAATTCTTATTGCTTCTCAGTAAAATCTGATTTCATCTAAGTTTGAACCAAGCAAACATGACTGGACGTTCATTCCCACTAATGTCTAGATGATTTGTAATTCTATCAATAATATCAGCAAATATCGTTCTACCCTAGTGGCATTATAAGCTGAATGTTTGCCAACTACTTCGTTTGATTTTTGTGTATCTTTCAATTTGCTTGATCATACTAGGGTATACTCGAAATATTTAGTTGAAATCTTCATCATAATATTCACATAGAATATCGGCTGAATTTAACTTTGCGAACGATTAGAAAGAGGTCTGTCAACAGATACAAGTCTGTTAGAAAACCGGTTTGAAGATACATTTTGCATCATTTTCTACAGTATATACGGTCGTGGTTCCAAATATAGTAATCGAGGATTCAAAAAAGCAGTATAACAACGGTCCAAAACTAGACTACTTTTTAACAAATGATCAGCTTCCAGTTTAAGATTTCCGGATCCAAGCACCAGAACTCTTCGATCTACTCACATTGTTTCCACGGTTTATTAAGTTCATTGTTTCATAACTTCATGGGACAAACGCCTACTCTCAACACCTTTATTTAGAACTTGATTACTTTCCACAATGCAGCTCACCGGCTTAACGTTTGTGAATGTGATAGCTACTGCTTTTGAAAACCCCACTGCCTTAAGAAAAACGTACTTACTTGGGTTACAAGACATGAAAACCCACAAATAACTACTAAGCTGACAAGAATCGCTTCGGTGTAAAGGCTCGGCAACTTTGTATTGGACATTAACTAAAACATGGAACAATACCAAAACATAAGCAGGTGAACGTAAAAGCTTGATCGATCTATATATTCTCGTTACAAGTATCTTGTAAACCGTTTCAAATATAATGACTCACCGCGAATCGGAGTTATGCGACCACTTTAGTTATCGTTAAAAGTATGCTATACTGATAGACTTCAGTGGATTTATCATGATTAACACTGCCTCACAAGTTTTGTGAGATGTCGATAGTTTGTTGAAGGACAACTTATGTTCTGTAATGAACGGAGTGGAAATTGGCAATATTTGGTCTGTAGACTTATGGTCTGCTTAGGTATTATTAACATCATAACATTAGATGTAATCTCAAAACTGTAGATTTGCCATGATGTGACCACCTAATCTATAGGGTCTTACATAGAAGTCATATCATTCTCTACACTGAATCGTCCTATGGTAATGGTAGGGAATATGAAGTTCAGCACTTCTGAAGAACGCATTTGAGTTGGGAAGAGGTTAGTATATTCGATAAAATAAGCAAGAGGTTATAGTGACTACGCCTGCGTGTCCGAGCCCAGCTATTTCGATCAATTCTCTTTGCGCTCGTCATTGTTGACTTGCTCTTAGTGTTACATGTTGAATGCGAATCTTTTCAGTTATTATACACTCAACTTTAAAGATCGTGTGGTTAGAAGCCGACACCACTACAGGTCAATGAAGTGCTTGGAATTGATTGAAAAAGTACATGGCGTGCAACAAAACATTTAGCATAAGATTATATCTAAACAAATTAACTCCATCTGAAACCCTTCCAAGGTCGATGGCGGTCTCAACCTCAGGGTGCGACATGTTGTTAGTAACCAAAGTTCATAGAAACCTACCTTGTTAATAATGAGATGACCATAAATAATAATTAAAACTCTTCTCTGAGAGTTTAAAGGTTTCTATTGGAAAATTCATGACACCTCATAATGAAAGCCGAGATTATTTGTAAATCATGGGGCCATTGTCTCTTTTGACTATCACAGCAACAATCAATATACGTGTATTGAATGAGTATGAAATGTAAGAGGCCGAGACGACCATTTAAATTGCCACGAAAATGAAATAAACAACCTGCAGATGGTCTCCAAAGTGGTTTACACTAAGTCAAACCCACTGAAAGCACTCTGAGAAGAAGAAGTTAGTCTAAGGAGATGCGCTGTTGTATTCCGGCCGTAGAAAAGAAAACGCTTTGGACATGTAAAAGGTTGAACTGATGACCTTTAAAAAAGAACGAAAAACACTTAAAGAAAGGTAATATCATGAATTCATGATCACCAAAGTATCTTCCAAATCAAAGAGAGAGAGGGGATCACAATGAATATCATCCAGTGTTCTGAGCGACTAGCGATATCATTGAGAGGATGTCTGCAGTTAATCATGGGGATATACACAGGAAATCGACTGACCATCTTGATAGGAGACTTAAAGGAGAAAATCAGAATAGAAAACATCGGGTGTGTAGATATCATAGGACATGGACAATGAGAATGGTAAGCAAGTCACTGAAACTTAGGAGCAGTAGAACATGTAGAACACATTTAAGAGCTCTTGAATAAACCACCCTCACTGAAAACACTGGATATCGAAGCAGGATATACAGAATTTCCCATAGGTGTTATTGTGAAGACAATAAAAATTAGTATGGCCATCAGACAAATGAAGAGTGGTAAGGCAGCAAAACCAAACAGTGTCCAGGCCTAGGGACTGAAGCTAGGCATAGTGGTGACTGTGAAGATGCCCCACGTTCTATTCAGAAAGATTGTATATTTACGACAAATACCGACAGATTATAAAGAGGGGTAATATTCATGTATCAATCAAATCGTGACACGGCCAGTCACAGTTGAATAATCGGTCAAGTGCAACTCATTGCTATGTATCGAGTTCTTGGAATAAGAGAAAACCTTTAATAGAATGAATAAGAGAACTTTACAGAGCTAAACAACTTACTTATCCTGACTTTGGCTATGCCAAGACTCTGTGTTCAACAGTACAGATTAATTTAAAGTAGTGCCTGTAGGAAATTACTTCTTTATAATGCTTCGTACAGGAAATTCGATATACCTACTGAAACGACTTCGAATAAGTACTATAATTCCTATGAGATTTCAGAGTTCCCACCCCACCATTCGGGGTATTAAGATGAAAATCAGTATGGAAGGAAAGAACTTAAAACCAAACACGTGATAAAATTAGGGTTAGCCAAGTTACGTATAATCCGGTTTACAAATGAAATTGAACCAGAAAAGTTACGTCGACAGGGAAGTGAGGCTCCTGGCCAATCAGTAATTGACAATGATAATGCGATACCATAAAATCTGTACTTACCAAAGAGTGAAGACTTAGAGTAAGAGTTAGGAAGGTAAAGTGTTATTTAGTGTCCTTAAACTCACTTGGTTACACGATGAAGGACATCAAGTACATTAACACTCAGTCTGCCATAAGAGGAGGTATGCTATGCCATTTAGCCTTGCACCATCTAAAATTCTTTTTGCACAATGGATATTTTGTTAAGGATATAACATTTGGACGACCTTTGAACGAAGCTCAAGCGACTTAGAGAAAACTCACCTAATTACTACAATCAAAAGAAGCTATAAACTAGTTTGAGTTAGGAATAGGATATAGAGTCGAAATTTAAGGTGAGGGATTGACGTAAAAGATTTCATCACGCACTGACGTCAGCTATAGTGACAAAATACTATTTAACTTTATAAGTGAATGCATTTCGCACCGTAATTCACGATTTGGTTAGTTCCTAAATTGTAGTTTCACAGAGGTTTTCACTAATTTCGAGAATTTAAAGGACCAGATACTTGGTTAGTAGTGAAATTCACTTTTTCTATTAATACACTTTGAACTTTGCTTCAAGTGTATAAGGCGTTATCTTAATTCTGACTGGCCAACTCAAGGCCATTAGCACTTTGTGGTTATTCACTGTTAGCCTCGAAATATATATATATATATATATATATATATATATATATATATATATATTCCCTTTACTGTATTTTATACATAGTCCACTTCTACATATCAAAATGATTCCCATATCCTTTGCTATCTTATGACTTGTTGTTAAATTTACAAGTCTCCAACGTATTTCGTATTTATATCTTATTTTTACGTTGTATCGACGTCATCAGTCTATAGAGGACATATGACAAGGCCATTATCCATAAAACCTTTATAATCGATTATCTTAAACCCAGTCAAAAGACGGAAATAAAGAGGTTCGAAGATATATTTTATGGCTAGTCAGTGTCGTAAAGTATGTTATCTAAACTGACTACTTGTTGCAATGGATGCGTACCATGGTGAACCCAATGGTGATCTTGTACAGATGATTGATTGAGCTCTTTTAGCTAGGGTGTTTCCATTAAAACTAATGAGGTGAATGTTGGTGTCAAATACGTGCAGAACTATTTGTCGTGGGGATTTATCTACCACTACGCGCAAAAAGTTATGCTCGGTTACCGTACTGTCTTAACAGTAATGAGGGACTATAATGTTATCATTTGGTAAGTACTTTGATAGTAGTTCGTTACTTTGCTGTTCAAAACAAAGTAGTGCACTCCACTAAGCTAAATTGATAATTTCAAATACTTGATATTTTCCTAATCAAATCTCTGTTTTCTCAAGTGTTTTCCCTGCGTATCATCTTTAGAATATTTGTCTAAGTGTTTGTTTAACGTTCAAACAAAATTCTTAGCTACACCTAATTTTGATCAATTTGATCCATCCAAATAACTGAGTATGTGGTTGTGACAAGTTATCTTGATATGCTAACAAGTTGCGCCGATTCATCAGCTTTCAAAGCCCCATGCGTGTAAGGTTTTTATATTTTGTTCGTCTCTTTGGTTTTTTGGCGGTGTTAACAGCTTTTGTCGTACTGTGGAAATTGGGGAATGTCTCATATTATTCGGGATCTAAAAAGTACTCTGAGTTATTAAACAAGCTAATTCTGTAAATTTTAAGGGGTTTCAACCACAGTCATGAATCTGATTACAACGGAAACGGCTTCAAAAATAAATATGACAGGTACTTTAATTGTCATTTATCACTTAGATTCACTCGTGAATTTGAAAGATTAAACTCAGACTCCGTTCGTTCTATCCGGTGCATAGTAAATGAAAAATTAATACTCGGGTGCTATTTGCTGAAATCACAAGAAGTACTCATACCATTTGAATTAGTCCGTAATTATTTTAAGGTTTGTCTTTTTTTTGTACGATTTCAGTTTTTTTACATTTAAAGAGTGATGTCAGGAGTATGGGGATATTTTCTTCGTCCACAGTATCCTTATAATTGTTCATGAGTAAAATTAACACGTTTTATCAGCATCCCAAAGTGTGAGAAAGCCATTTTAATAATTCACCACTAGTAGTGTAGTCGGATGATATAGATGAGGTCACTTTGAAAATCTCTTCTTGTGGATCTTTCGACTTCTTGCTGTTGATATTTGTTACGTCTACTGCGAATTATCGATATTCAAGTCGTGCTTCGCTCCTATTTCTATCTATTTATATTGAAGTAAGAAGATTAAACGTGTATTGAATGTATTACACTTAATTATGACATGGATGTCTGGATGGTAATTGAGAAAGCTGTAGCACTTATGTATAGAAGTTATACCATGTAAAAATTTAACGGTCTTGGTGCACGTTTACTAATCTTAAATGCGGGAAGTCATTTTTATTCTTTTTAACTTTGAACATGTATTAAGGATTATATTCAGGGCAATATGTGTATGATGTTAGTAAATGTTAAAGGAACTGTAACTGTAAAGCGTGTGAAGAAATATAACAATCTGAAAGCGTATACTCTTTCCATAAAATTTTGAGCGTGTTTAGTGGCACTATCTGAAAAATTGAAATTCAATATTCCAGTACGCTTATTGAATTTTATGTTAAGTGACTTCTTAAGGTTAAATTTCGGCTCTTAGTCCTCTTTACAGATAATGTACTGTGATCAGAGGAATAGCTCTTCTGAGGAAACGAGAATACTTTGTTAAGGTTGCCTTATGGGTTAAAGCCTGCCTAGAAATTAGGAACTAAACAAGTTTATTTTCATTCACAAATTCCTATAGTAGTGCACAACACAGATGAACCAAGGCTGAAATTATTAGGATGGTCATAATTTATTAACAACTCGAAGGATTTCAGTGACATCAGGGTTCTCAAATGCATACCGATTGAGCCAGATTTACGTGAGGAAACGTTTTCAGTCTTAAGTAGACATGTATCTTGCATAAATTATATTTATATTTTTATAGAACTTGCTTCCGGATTATGTAAAATGCTTTCTAATATTCTTTAGGTAACACTTTTTTATTCTATTGATTGTATGTCATTAATCATAAATACCACAAGTTTCACAAAATCTTTAAGAACCTATGGATATCTGAGTATTATAATCATGGGATATCTTGTTCTAGACCCTTCAAGGAATAAAAATCCTTCACAACTTTAGGTGATTTCCACAGATTTGCTCTCCAGTTATCATGGAAATCAGCCTACGTTTTCTCCGAGATATTTTAATATCCTGCTCAGTTGATTATTGGTTGTACATAGTTTTACTCATTACGATTAAGTTGGTAGTTGTGAACAAATTTTCTTACAGATTTATTAACCTACCGCTATTAAATAAACTTCTGAAATGAATTATTTTAAAATTAATTGGTATGTTACACTAAGTAATACCCAAGTTCTTCAATCTTTCACAATTTATTGTTCAATAAGTTTTTCGTGCTGATCATATTTGATTACTAGATTCAAATTTTTGATTGATTCTTATTGGGTCTTTCTAAGATATTACACTGATGTTTCCTAATGATCCACTGTAGTGTTAAATTATCTCCAAAACACAAGCTGATAGAATTAAGTGCAGACGTTTAAATAACAACGTGATAAATATGAGGGTTCGGAGTCATACGACTACATATGTATGCAGTACTTAGAAATATGAAAAGATAATGAACAATTTAGCTAAAATGTGATTGTTTGACCACTAATAAGTAGTAATTGATTTTTCGCATTACTAAACTAGATCGTTTCCATATTTAGGTTTATGGTTCCCTTGATTTATCGTCTAGCACATTTTATTGGAATCACGCCAATGTTGACATCCCAAAACCATATTTACATAAACATAATCCTGTCGGTATATATATGCAATTTCATAAATCCAATGTAGAAAAACGAGATAATGTGAAATTAATCGTTGCAGATGAAGGTATGCTATGGCTTTTAATTTTATGGAATGTAGATTTTCTTTTGGTGTGTTAACACCTTATGTTAATTATGATTGTTATCACCATTGATTCTGGCACTTATATTAAACTATTTTGTTATTTAATGAGTTTGAGATAGGACAAAAATTAAGTTGATTTTTTTTTCAGTAATTCAACTGTTTTCAGTCTGTGCCATAGAAATGACCTTCGAATTCTGCTATGTGAAAAATCAAGCAACAACTGTTGGATTTAATTTAAATAATGCATAGTTCTTGTATAATGAAGGCAGTCCATTTATATGTATACACTAATGTTAACCAAGAATGTACTACCCCCTCCTTCCTTTCCTCCCTGCAAACAACTGACTAAGTAAAGGGTTTCTTGTACAATTTCTAAACTGATTAATACAAATCCATGTTTCTAGGTTGGAAACCACGATGCAGTTTAGTTTTGAACAAGCTGGAATGTAAAATTTAGGAAGCTGAAAACGATAACTGGTCAAAAGCATGCTAGAAGATACTAATTAATAGGTTTGTATCACTACACTCGATTAATGGACACATTATTTGAATATACATTTGTTGGGGATGTGCGATCACCAAACACAACTTATGATAAAGGAAGTCAATATCGATGAAGATGGATCTCCACTGGATTAAATTATTCAATATGATTTCTTCTCATGGACTTTCAGTACATTTTTATTATGATTTGTATTTAGTGACAAATACTTGGTTCATAAATTCTAATGATTGTTATTGACATACAATCAATTAAATTAGGTGTATTTTCAATTATGATGGGGTCATCATCAACCACTAATCTTCTTACTCAAGTTAGCGGGAAAAGGAAAAAGATGACTGAAGTAGTTTCATTCATTATGTTGGAGTCGGAGTTGTGAAATACGAGCATAATATATGGACGTAAATTTTAAACCATTCCTGTACACTTGTTGTATATTTTTATAACCTGCTCTTTGCTATGCGATTCGAAAATATCAACTCAACAGTGACTCGAGATTTAACGCAATTAATGCTTAATGCTATCCATCCAATAATTTTGACCCAGCCCCTAACTGTTAGGATTACTAAGTCTGGTCTGTGAATGTTAAAAATATATTCTGTCGAAAAAGCCACTCTTTATTTACAGATTGTTTTGCAGAGAATATTACATTTAAATAATTATAACATGTAAACCAATGTTACGTTGAAAAAAAGATCAAAACTGGTTCAGTGCATAACAGAAATTTTCAGAATCAAATAGAACAAAATGCCGAAATGATTAGTTGTCTAATTTGTTAAAATTCAATCAAATGTCACATTGGACGACTATCATGATGGTTTAATCAATAGTCTTACTCCTGATAGCGCTCTGTTACCTCCTCTCAAAGAGTTGTAAGATTCCACTCTTGAGTCAACCTGTAATAACCTTGGTCCTTATTTTCGTGACGATCTTAAATAGTCTTGTTCCGGTCTCACCAAATCAGATATTTCATCCACTTATTCAAAAAGTATAAGAGAATAGTAGTGTTATGACCTTGGGTGTCTGGTTTTTCTGTCACACGACTTATCTACCAATCCGAGTACGACCTATACGAATCTTCACACTAGGCCAACCAATGACGTTCAACCGGTGTGGGCAGTTTAGCGTCCTTATTGGTCCTATGTCCTCCGAGCCCTTCCACTTGAGTCCAGAACACAATACCAGCTTCCGAATATGAATCGAATCGTTTATTTCAGGCATACTTGGTTTATATATCAATCAGACAGACCGCAACGTACCATAAAATAGGAAATAATATTTGTACACAAATAAGCCCAAGAAGTGGCTGTGAATGTGGGAGGCATTAGTTAATAAACTGAACATAACTTAAGAACCGTAAATCGTACAATAATAAATTATAGGTCAAAATAAAGCTTATAATAAGAGGAATATAAATATACATAATGTAATTTTTGAGTAGTTACACAATAAGAATATTTATAGAATATTAGTCCATGAATAGTCCTTGGAAATTACCTGTAATTTAATATTCACTAGGATATAACAAGTAGTGACTTCTGTCCAGTGTACTTCATATTTATCAGATATCAAACTTCAAATGTTCATATTATCAATAATATAATTATTCATCGTATTACAGTAAGCGAGTATATTTTGGTTCATTTGTGTTTGTATAAATGATGCATTGGACCATTTTTTTGATGACACTTTTTCTCTTCATCTAAAATATTTTAAGTATGGTAGGTGAGCTAAATACTCATAAATCCATTTCTATTTATCGAATGTAATTCATATATTGCGGTGAAAGTTTTCTATAGTGCATATATCTGGCAATTCATTTCGTTCATTATCTTGTTAAAAAGTTGAATCACAACTTATTTGTATATTTACATTCAAATACAAACAATCATACATACCAGGAGTACCAATCAGTCAACAATGGAGTTCTCGCGGTTATCCATATCCAATTCAAATAGCACAATTTGGCTTGAATCATTTCAGTCAATTAGTAATATCATCTGGTCAAGCGAAATTTGAAAATGTACGAAATGTTTTGTCGTTGGACAATAAAAATATGGAGTTAGATCTTATTGTTCCCAGTAATAATGTAATTCATCGTTGGGCTGATAAAGAGTTTATACATAAATGGAATGACAGACTTATGTTATCAGGTATGGTTATCATGTAATTAAAATTATTAAATTTTGACTGTACACACGTCAAAAAATCCTTTTTTATGGAATTGACATGTGGGACAAAAATAAAGTCTAATAACGCTGTCTTAATTCCCTTGACATTTGAGTGATCTACAAAATTCTTGTTTTCAAATTGTTTATGACATTTAATATTGCTATTTTTCTGTTGAGAGGTTTTATTCTAACATATGTAAAACCTTTTCTCTTGACCAATGTTCTTGTCTTCAATGTCAATTTATTCGGAAGTTTGCGTCAATAATCTTGTTTCGCTAGCAGTCATCACTTGGTCACATATAATCTGATCAGCATACTACCGATTTATTTTAGAAATCCTGAGTTCGAATCCCGCGGGTGGGATCGTGGATGCGCACTGCTGAGGAGTCCCATACTAGGATAAAACGACCGTCCAGTGCTTCCAAGTTTTCCATGGTGTAACTTCAATTGACTCATGAGTTCAACTGTTAAATCCACAATGTGTTCAAGTCACAAAGTTCTAACCGATAACAAAAATAATCTGTTCGTGTGTAGTAGGAATCTAGTGTCGTAAGATATAAAAAAACGACGTGTTTTATTTTATTTAGTGATCATTTTCATCACAGTTAATTTTATCAACTGGGAAACCCAAAATAACTGAACAGTTGCTATTACCTAATTTGTTTTATACCTGATTTCGTACGGGGTTGAATCTTCAATTAAATCTTTTATTCTAACAGCGAAAATAAGTAAAAAATTTTAATTTTGCTCTTTAATGTCTTACATTAATTCGGTGCCCAATTACTGTGAAACTTCGTTCAAATTTAGATGAGCATTCTTACAAATTATCGTCTGGTTTGTTTATTTATTTCCTATTCATTCTTCACTTGTTATCACCTTCCGATTTCATCCATTCGAATACAGTATAAATATATCTATAAAAGAGTCTGGTTTCAAATAAAGTCATGATAGCAATTAAATGACTGATTATAATGGTTATAATAACAAAGATTATATGTATATACAATATTCATACACGATTTCTTATTATTTCTGAAAACATGAAATATGGTCAAAACTTCACTGAATTTAACTTGTCTGTGATGCTGACAGGTTTCATACGGAGCGAGGTGACTACATTTAGAAATAAATATATTCACGTTATCATAATTTTTAGTCCCTTTTTTACTCTGTGTGAGATATAGCTTATAAGTTCATGCATGAATTCAGTCGTTACAATAGAGTTGCATTTGTTCAATTTATTCCGTATAGTTGATAAACTGAACTCCTATGGTCAAGTATTGTCAATAATCCCAAAGCTTCAAGAATGGGATTATCTCATTATGAGTGGTCGTCAGTGGACATATGGAAGCCATATTGAATTATCACTTTTATGGTATCCTCCAGGTGGAAGTTATAAGAATTACCCTACAAAAAGTCTAATTGTATACAATTGTTCATCATCTCCAAGTAGACATGTCAGTTTGGTATTTATTTATATTGTAAATTAATAATACTGTTTCTACAAACAACGGTAATAATTGTAATTAATATGTCAGTGTTGAAAACAGGCTTAATATTTTTGTGACAAATAATTGCCATTTGTTTATGATGTGAAGTTTGCTCGATCTACTTATTGTTTAGGATCTGATTGATATCAGGAAGTGAACTATTATTTTGTAACTAAATAATAACAGAAATCACAAAATAAACCGTAACAAAAAATATCGTACATTTATGGTCAGTTATTCATAATCACTGTGGAGCTGAGCACAGAAATGAGTTAACCTAATTCGTCATGTGACGTCAACCCAACAAGATAAAGTTAACTGGCTAAGCAGCAGATAGATCAAGACCATCGTAGCGTCTATGATAACACAAAAGGCTAAAAATATAGAATATGGTTTGACAAGATGGAATGTAAAGGTACATATGAAGGAATACTGGTACTCGATATCTAAATGAAGATAAAGGGCAAATATATCTGTGCCGACACCGATTTTGATCTATTTCATCCAATGTTTCCAAATGATGACCAAAATTAGTCAAAAACGATTCTCCAAACTTAGGCGTTTTAAGTTTCTAGACGGCATACTTACTGTGGAATCAATCCACATGGCTCGCATCCTGAATAGCTTATTCTCTAAAACACCGAAAAAGTGTATAAATATTCACACACTATTCTGTGTATCATCAATTTTATTGAAGAACAATTGTTTTCTTTTTTCTCAATAGTTTGAGGGTGGGTTCAACAGTTATTCAGGGCATAGTACAAGTTCTATTGCAAAATATTGCTTTGCATTTACTCTTGTGTTTACTCTTTCGTTAAGATTCGATTCGCGTAGCTAGATGCGAGTCATAACAGTTAGTAACTGTTTTCCTGTTGACTCAAATATTAATTAAGTAACTACATAATAGGTAATTTATTTCACTATGTATTAACTTTTTTGTCTTTCAGCAAACCTATGCCACTATCATTCATAATAATAAAGTCACATATTGGATGCCTGAATGTGAAAAACAAGCCAAGATATATGGATTTGTTGATAATATCAAGGTAGCACGTGATCTTTACACTGATTTAATGAAAGTATTCTACGCAAATCGAAAGTCATCGGAATATACTGGTTTAAGTAGTATGAAATTATTGAATACTGTTAATGATACTAAAAATCCATCGTAAGTATTCCGACTTTTTGGTATAGGCGAAGATTCTATGGTTCATGTTGGAACTACTTGTAAAATTGTGATTGTTTATTTTGAAATAATTTGGACATCACGATATTTTGGTACCATGTTCAATGCTTTTAAGATTATATATCATGTCGACTCAGTTTACTTTTATTACTATATGACCGTACGATTCCTCCCCGCCAAATGGCTATTAACTGAATGGTTATAAATTTTAAGAATTCACAGACAACACACATCGTTATCTTTCGCTAATTACAGGTCGGAAATCTTAAATGTTTGGAGGTAATCCACAGAAAACCCTAGACCCAGGTTTCTCACTAGTTGGTTTACTTACAATCTTAATGAAACTGACAAATCATCACTTAATATCATTGCATATTGCAAGAAATATCGATGCACTCAGACTAATGACTACATTGCAACTTAATCAACAGAATTCTGTTGACATTTAAAGACTAAACAAATATGACATTAGTTACTATTCTGTGACCAATCACTCATACAAATTTTGTGTATTTGTGTTTAAACACCACACCGTTCCTCTGAGCGCACTAATGGTTATACATGAGTGCTCGAAACTGAAAAAGGTGAAATGACGTTAAAATTTGATTTATTTCCGGGTTCAAATAAATCCAAATTACCAGTCCTTATGTTTTAATTACACGCCACGCCGTTAAGTATTATTATCGTTTCCTACATTGTAGGCGTAGATCACGGCTTTGCGTATAAACGTGCACATACTGAGTTGCATTATTGTTCATTTACCTCGTTCGAAATTTATCGAAACCCTCTATGTAAGCAACATATAAGCATTTAATTACTCAGCTGATGTTGTAATACATTTCGAAGGCCGGTATTTCGAAAAGGCGAATTGTAGTCCATCTACTAAATGAGAGTTTTTGTGTTTGGGTCTGGGGCTACGTTTTATGTGAAGGTTAATGATTCTAGCTTGCTGCTCAAACTGAGGTAGATTAGTGTTAGAGCTCGAACTAGGTACCTTGTAGTTGGAAGCATAATGTTTTGACTGTTAGGCATATACGAACTTATTGTTCGGTCAATTTGAATCGTTTTACATCCAAGACATACTTTTTTATTTTCATAAAGGCTTCTTACAAACGGACCTTATATTTCCCTACACTGAGAGATTAGTTTGTACATCAGCTTTTGTCACTTGGAAATTGGCTTGGATTTTGACAATTTAAACAGATAGTGTATTCCTAGTTACTTACCACTTGATTCTTAATTATATTCTAGATGATTTAACTTGGTAACTAGTAAAACCATTGTTGCCAAGTCTTCCGCTATCCGACTCAGTTGCTCTTATACTTTAGGCTTCTTCGAACATTTTACTTCACTTGATTAGTCCCCAAAATCAGAAGGCGACTTGGACAGGAACGTAATTATATTTCAAAACAAACCGAGTCGAATAACGATGAATTTTTAGTAAGAAAATCGTTAGAATACCTGTAATTTTACACAAGCTTCTGTAGTCTTTTTATCTGACAGCTCCGCTTGGGTTGAATTAGTTCAGTCAACGTGCTCCGACACAATCTTCATGGATCATGCTTTATTACAATGTCCTACTAGCAATTGCATAATAAAAAAACAAATATCGTTGTAGAATAACATAAATTCATTTATTTCGTGGATTTCTTTCAGCTGCTTACAACCCATGGCCGTAGTATTATTCATGAAAACGAAACAAGGTTACATACTTTTTATCGGAAATGTCTCGAATAAATTGAGTTAATAGGTGGGAGATAGAATAATAATCAAAGATAACAATATGGAAGAATTGACATCGCTTAAACGTTCACTTATTTGCAGGTTGAATATATATGAATGCTCTAGAACAACATGGAAACAGATTTTTTTCAAAACTGAAGATAAATTGTGTAATACTCACTTAAAAATATAGATTAGTTGAATAAAGCTCCCGTGTAAGAATTAAGACATTTGAAATTTTAATTAAGGTTTTTGGAAAAATGTCCTACGTAATAGTCTGACGAAAAAAAGTCATTAGAGCAAATCAAGATTGATAACAGTATCTTTTTGGATACGTCAATTCTGTTTATATTTTTCTATTGCAATAGCTTCGAGAAAAGGTAACAGTTTTGGATTCCTTGACTTATTAAACATCTTGAAAGATTTCCAGACATTAACATCATGTTCACCATCGAGTAAATTACGGGTGATTTCACTGTTGAGAACGTGTCCATTTAGTTCAGACTTTGTGGAATATCTTCAGAGATGAGGACATCAACCACTCTTTCTGTTCTCTCTGTGTATGTGCTTTGGAACGTACATATAAACTGGTAAACACAATTGAAGGTAATATAAGGTGGAAATTTGCCTGTATTTGATTGTCGTAACGAAAATTTAGTTTGATATAACGACGTCGACTTGGCCACTGGATACATCCTTTTTAGTATTGCTTTTAGTCTAAATTCAATCCCAACTATTTCATCCGTTTTGAAGCTAAGTTTTAGAAAGACTGGCTTTTTTTCAACCGTGGAATATCTTATTTCCTTTTTTCTAGTCGTTCCATATTTATTTGTAAACTTGCAGATAACCATTATCACGTAATCGATGTTCAACTAATGGCTGATACCTTCTCGATTCTATGTTCAGAAAATCATCTGCGAACACGACTAAATAATCCTCTGAATAAGGACTTTTTGTAGCCTATTGCACAAAAGCTATGGACGTTCAAATAAAGCCCACTCAATATGTCGTTTCGATAAAGATGTCTTAACAATCGGCTATTTGAATTACGATAAATACCAAAGTCTAGAAAATGAAACATGTCGTGTTCATATACCAATGCTAATCTAGTTTGCACTTTTCTGAGGAGTCTCATCCTTGGATAAAACAGCTATCTAATGCTTCCTAGCCTTCAATTATTGTTGAAGGTCATTTCGTGACGTAACTTGTAATATTGAATTTAAGCTTTAATTACAGCATTATATGACAGAATTTATCTATAAATATGCTTATTTCAATCGTTTTTTTGTCATTTGATCTATTTTCAGTCATGTACAAGTATTAAATATAAACTTCTATATTAATGCCCAATATAACACTAATGATATCATCATAGAAAAATTATACCTTGGTAAATTAACCAATTTACAATTAACATTTCCAACTGTAAATAGAATAAACTTGGCAGAGAAATTATTTCATGAAATACGTTTTATATCTGCTGCTGATTGGTTTATTAAGCATCAAGATAAAAAGACTGGTGGTTGGTCTGTTAATATTCAACGTTCATTCAATGGTAGAAAAGCTCTAAAACCTGGATGGTATTCTGCTATGGGTCAAGGTAATTCTAAATTGTCAATTTTTTTTCAATATTTTAACCAATAGTGTAACATCTTCAATTACTTTCTGTTGTATGGTCCTAAAGAAATTATACTACCGTAAAATGATTGTCTCTAGTGTATTTAAACGCATTTTGTTATTACGGCTTCAAGGATAGTTATTTAATGAATGGAGCTGTAATACTAATTGTAATACTAAATCTATTGTGTTGTGCTTTTGTCAACGCATAATAGATATCTTCTTGAGAAAGTGAATTATGTAAGAAGCCTACATGTAATTCATTGCTAGGGCTAATTTATTATTAATGTTCACCTGTAGAATGTGATAAGTACATGGTTTTAGAAGAAAGCTTTTAAATAAAGACAGTGAATTGTTGTCAGTAAAGCGGATATTCATTGGTTAACGCTTAGAACTTTCAATCACTGGAAGGGATGATGACACAAAATATATTTGACAAAGCTGCTAAAATTGTTTAGTACGCGTTTTGTACATATTCAAATGATACTTCTCGTTTGATTCATTTCGAGGAAGGGAACTAAGACTGACTAAATACATTATTCACTTAATCTTAATCTTTCTTCAACATGGCTAACGAAGTGCATCTGTTTTAATGCATTAGTTTGCTCTGTGCTCATTTACAGTTATGTAACATGGGAACGTTTACTGGGATCAGAAACATTTTTAGGGTTCGATGGATACTGTGAGTCAATAATATCAGGCTTACTTCCAGAGTTTTAAATGGGTAGAGTAGGTCAATCAGTGATGTCAATATTCACTAACCAAAACATATTTTGTACAGTTTAAGCCTCCTTTAAATCTTCGTGTATGACAATTGGTTCTGTATTGGTTTAGCAAACAGAGTTAATTTCTGAATCAAATAGAATAACACTGTATAAAGTTACTATTGTCATGAATTTTGTTAGGAGATATAGATTTCGCTATTCAAGTTCCCGACTTTCTGGAAAACATTAATCACAGACAATAAATTACACAATTTAGGAACAATCGCATGGAATTTGCTGCATTTATTTTGTATCGTTTAAATCACTAAACCTAAACTTCATTTGGTCACTTACAATCCTGTTAGTTTTCCCTCTCCCAGCCGACTAATAAACTTAATTAATTATAACTTTATTTCAGGTCAAGCGATTTCGCTTCTAGTTAGAACTTATAATTACACTGGGAACCCATTATATTTGGAAGCTTGTCATCGTGCTTTAGATTTGTTTAGTGTAAATATAAATCATGGAGGTATTCGTTCGTATTTCCTCAATCAATCCGATTTAGTATGGTTCGAAGAGTACCCGTTTGATCCTCCAATTCATATATTAAATGGGTTTATTTATTCACTCATAGGTTTATATGATTATACCAAAGTAAGTTTAACGCTTTTAAAATTTCTATTTTATTAGAACCACATAATGAAGCATTTAATTATTTGTCTGATGGTTAGACAATAACATCAGTCCATGAAGTGTGACAGTAGTCCAGTTCCTAAAGTATTGGTAATTCAATCAGTAGGTTAGATGTTTAAACTTTATTACCGTCCACCAGTGGAGTTCAACCAGGTCTGTTGTGAGATAGCAAATCACTGAAGGCAATGGTGGACGGTGGCGCAATTTCATGGATTGGTTGAAGCTGGACATTAAAACCGTTGGATGCCAGCTAAGTGGTCTAGAGGTTAGGTGTTCGCGCGCAAGACCGACAGGTCCTGGGTTCGAGTCCCGCGAGCGAGATCGTGGGTGCGCACTGCCGAGGAGTCCTATACTAGGATGAAATGGCCATCCAGTGCTTCCAGGTTTTCCATGGTTTAGCCTTAATTGACTCATGAATTCAACCATTAAATTACTGTAATTTGCACAAAACTCCCTTCTGATAATTTTGTATCAACCAATAAATTGGTTTTACCCACCTGAGTGCTTGTTAACTACAGTATCACTAACTTCCATAAAATCTTTATGGTCCTAAACGAGTTCATAATCTTGTAAGTGGTAAACTACTCTTGTTTAATGAAGTTATTGACTGTTGAGAATTGAATACTTCATGGTTATAAATAAGAATAATATGTCTAATTGTTCCGTTGTACTATCTAAACTTGGATTAATTTTAACTTGATTATTTATTCTCTGAAGAAGTGACGTACACTAAGTCACGAAACGTCCGAGTCTGATTTTTCTACTCATCGGGATATTACAAATATATTATTTATTTATAACAATCTACCCAATGCTCAACTTATTCGAAATTATCAAATCAAACCTTGATAGTGATACCTACTTCATGGTTATGTTTTGTTGAGAAAGTACAACCGATTGTTGAAGACTTTATGTAACATAACTCCAAATCGAAAACAATGGCGCAAATGGATTCATTTTTAGTCTAAAACTATGCCTTCAAACCAGTGTTATTCTCATAATGTTCAGTCTCTGACTTGATTTCATTTTTTGAAACTCTTTTATGCAGCAGTTGGGATGACTCTCCCACATTGTATGAGGATTTCATGTACCTAAATTAATTGTTGCTCTGGTTGTGAGAAGGGGCATCAACCTCGTGACTTTTGAAGAAACTCGCTTTTCACCATGAGGCGTCATAACTCTTCTAAATGGAAGACCTAACTCCCACGGCAGAGTTTAAGTGGTTTGAATTATTTTTTCTGGTTAGCGTTAGTTAGTTTTCTACGGGATGGGGTCGCTAACCCCATTTCCAACCCTTCTTCATTCGGGCTTGGATCCGGCAGTAGCCCCAGAGGGGCTCCAGCCGGAGTTGGAACCGTTTTATGTTTACTTTATATCTTATGCATTATAATTCCACTATTTTGTGAGACATGTAGAATGATTATTAGTTTACTGTCTAAATATTTGATAAGCGATTCTGTCATTTAAACGCAAAACTAATCATACTTAGTTTATTCGACTTTTTATATATTCACGAGACTGAGTTAGAAAGAAGGATGTTCAGTAGTACAGTGCACCTTTGACTAATATGTTTTTATCACCTCTTTTCAAAATGAACCATTTATTGGTGAGCACTAATTACACTCATTGAGTATTTTTTTTATCATTACGCATTCAATATAATATATGCACCTTAAAATTAGAATTAAATAACTTGAGAACAATTAAGTAATTCCTCGTCTTCTGTATTTCATCCAATCAAATGCATAATTGCTTAATGTTCAAGACATAATTTTTAATGCAACTATAACATGATAACGAATGCCATTTGATCTTAAGATATTATACAGCTATGAAAAAAATACTTGACTCATTGGGATTTTACAAGTACATGATTTCTGTCAAAAAGCTCTACTGTTCTAAAAATCTGTAATCTGTTTCTCTTATTCAAACGATTTCTTTTTTATTTTTATTTGATTTTTTACCGACTGGATTCCTTGTGTAAAGATGATACTCATACCATTATTTCGCATAAGCTTAGTTATTATAGGAGTTATTGGTTTACACAACCTGTTTTCCCTCTTATTGTAGTTATTGGTGAACTCTCCAGATCCTTTGACTTTATCCTATCTTTCGAAAGCTCAAAATTATTTAGATATAGGATTAACAAGTTTGTCCAAATTGCTCCCGCTATTCGATTCTGGTAGTGGGAGTTTCTATGATCTTCGTCATCTTTCAACGGCATATAATAATAAACCGGTAAAACAAGGTCGATCTAAATTTTCTAAAAGTTCTTTTCAATTATCCACTGGACCCAATCGAGCTCGTTGGAGTTATCATTCTGTGCACATTAAACAACTTCAAACTTTGGCTGATATAGATCCAGAACATGCTATTCAATGGAATACTACAGCTAATCGATGGATTGCTTATCTTCAAGGTTTCAGATCTCTTGAAAATTAATATGCTTACTTTTACAATCGAATTACTTTCAACATCTTTGTGTTTTAAGACGGATTCCAATCATTTATACTACTGTTACATATATACATATGCCAGCCAGTAATTCGCATTTATTTTGATATTAGTCGTTATACATTATATGTATACAATATCCAAGTGATTATTGGGAATTACATGTAATTTCGTTTTCTTATTTAGTATTCACTTAAAACAATGCTTAAACTTTTAAGATTAAGATAAGAGACACACCCAGTTATCTACTGGATAATTTATAAGACATTCTTATTGATGGATCACTTCAATGTTGGTTTACTGTTTTATATTTTATGACTAAATAAACTTCCATAGTTTCTTTTGGTGTTTTCTACTTATGGCTAATAATAATATTGCATCGACTTGTTCCCACACGGCTTTTGTAGATATGGACGTCCTTTTTTAACAGTGATTCCTCGATCAAAGATTTTTCAGTTGAGAAACATTCAACTTTACGAGAGATATATTTTTACAAGTAACTCCTATTGCTGAAAGCATTGGTTCACTGGTTATACACGTGTTCAGATATTATCGCTATTGTATATAGACTGGGAATTCCAATGTCTTGTTGAACATAAGTGTTTTTTCGCTAAACAATAGTGAACTGAGTTGTAACCCTAATTTTTAGTAATGTTTAATGAATTTACATTTTGTTGTAAAAATGATGCGTAGTAAACCATTCAGTTAATATTAACTGCTTCGTTTCCTCGCATTTGCAGCAATACTGAAAGGTAGACCGGTTTTTCTAACAGGTGCTGATAACAGTTGGATTCTTCAAGCCACCCTTGGTTTCGAAATATGGGTGTGTGGCACAATCCTTTTCTAACCAACAGTATGTTTTACGACACTCCGTCTTAGAATCCAGCTACTTATCTTTCAGCTTATGTGACAAATTGATAGGGCATCCCGAAAATACTGAAAGAACACAGTCTTAATGTTCATTTAAAGTCCAATTTGTTCGGATATCTCAATGGAGTTTGATAGATAATCCGTCATACATATATAGCGCTTAATACTAATTTGTTAACCGCATACACTGTCAGTGCATAAATTAACCGAACGTATACACTTCACATATTTCATGCGTGCCTTCACTTGTAAGTTAGATACATCTCATCAATTCAAAGGAAGATCACAAGCCATCATTTGAATAGTATTCTATTTTGAATTACTTCCGAGGTTTTTAATTCCTCAGCATCCATAGGATTTTTCTAATCGAAACGTACTTTGTATTTTCAAAAAGTTTTATTTTTAAACTGCATAATGCGGATGAGGTTGCAGGGATAAAACACATTTCTGTATAGATTAGTAAAATACTACCATTCATTTTTTTAATAACGTTCAATATCTTTCTTACTAATGAGATTGTATTTTGCTTTCACCGGTACACACAGTTATCTTGTGGTTCCTAATACAATTGGTGTATTTTTGCCAGTTAGTTTTGTCCTCTCTTACTGTTCATTTCAATGGAGATTTCTTTTGTAAAATCATATTTTCCGTGTGACAATAACTTTTATTCAGATGTTGGATAAGCAGTGTCTTGTTATAACGTAGATGATAATAACCATTACGTGCAAGAGAATACAACAGGATTGGATCAATTATGAACTTGAATATAGTAAATACACTGTTTTACAGCAATACGAAAAAATCTGGACAGTTGCATGGGATAGTAGTAAGATCTCAGGATTTTTGTGGGGTTCACTGTTTTATCACGCTTAACTGTGGGTAACGATTCCTGAAAATTAAAGTATCTGATTCTGTATAAAAGTCAATTCGTGTTACGTTTGCGAATCATGTGTGGTAAACTAGTTCGGTGTAATTTTTCGGTTAAGTAACAGTAAAATCACAAGCAGACTTCATAGCATCTGCAAAATACTAGTTTGTCATATGTCAGCACTTACAATACTTTCTAATTAAGAGGGAGTAAGCTGACCTTTATCGTTCTTTTTATGATTTCGAATCCTGACCAAAAGCTAATCATTGATCATACTTCCAGTTTATGTAATTACATACGGTTCTAGTGTTTAGAATGAACCTATTACAGCTATTGAGTGGTTAATTTGAAGGCTGGGACATCACTGTAAAGCTTTGATTTATGACAATAGTATTTATTGTTTAAAATGACGATTAGATAGTTTCGTTAATTTGAAGTTACCGATTTTCTGTGGAGCCCACATAGTAAATAATCTAAAATATGGTCTAAATTCTGTTATTATTATGAGTTTAAGTATTTGAATCGAGAGAGCGGTGATTCGGTATTTAAGGTATTCGATTTTCAGTCACTACTTCTCAGGTTTGAACCTCATTCCACCGGGTAATAACCCATGCTTACATTTAGTGTGGCTCAAGACCAAGTACGCAAATCTACTACTAGTAGAAGAGTTGAGTTATATCTTGTGGCCTGTGTGCCCTGTCAATGTATAACGTAATGATACCACCAATTGGAGAGCAGTGACTTATCGATCGGGCTAATGACGCATAAAACACGTACGAGCAGTCTAGAGTCCTTATTGGTCCTGCTTCCTGCCTAGCCCAGCCAGTTAAGTCCAGAACGCCAATCTCAGCCTCCGCGATATGAATCATTTATCTCAAACATACTGGTTTTATATACTAATCAAACAGCCACATTGTACCATAAAATAGAAAATAATATTTACAAGATTTAGCCAAAAGTGGCTGTGAATGTGCGAGGTAGTGATTAATAGACAGGACATAATTCAAGAATGGTAGATCGTATAATAATAGTTCATAGGTCAAAATCAAGCTCATGATAAGAGGGACATGAATATAAACAGTTTAGTTATTTAACAATTATATGATAAAAATATACACATAGTATTGGTCCATAAATGGATCCCGAAAGTTACCATTCATTATGCTTATCGAGACATAACAAGTTGTTTTGTCGACTGAAAAAAGAATGACAATTACTGGCAGGAATAGACTGACGAAAAAAGGTGTTCACAACGTCTACAGAATTTATTTATAACAAAGTTTAACTATGTAGCTTGATATGATTCCCTTTAAGGTACGTCATATACACCTACTTTCTTTGTCAATTTAAACATCAAATAAACTGACTTTGTGAATAGTTTGCAGTTAGTAAATATGGATATAAACATTCACAGTCATTTGATTATCGCATCTATCTTTTGACAAGTTGTTTGTAATTAAACGTGTAAATATACTTCTGATTAGTCGGGTTACGTTTCAATAAATCTGACGATTATTAAGCCTAATATATTTTTGTTGGCTTCGAAATTCTTTGATATTATGATAAGAAAAACGAAAGCCTGCAGCGACTTTTATGCGAAAACTGTCTATTGTTTCTTAGCGTGTGAAATTTATGAAAACCATCGAGTCGGAAGATGTATGCCACCGTGAAGATCAGCGTCTCATGAGTTATCTTGAGAAACTAAGGCTTATTTCAGCTGATCAGAATGCAGTTAATACGGTAGGACAATGCATTAATAAAATTCCGAGAAGTTATAATTCTCAAATAGTTTGCATGACAAGTAAATTTACTGAGATGGGGTCTTCGATATTAATGTCTCAACTCGCCTGTATGATTCCAGATCGTTATACCTCTGTAAGGTTGATATGACTAGATGAAAAGGCAAACTACATTTTTAACTCATTGTGATTCTTGTCCAAAGCTACCTACGTTTTTAATTTAATACGATGATTATTTGGTATAATATTTGTGTTATTTTCAGTGTGAAGATATGGTCTTCTTGTATTAGATTAACGTGAACTATGTTCAGCATGAAATACAACGTACAATTTTGTGATAATTTTATATGTGACGTTTTACTAATTCATAATCATATGGGTGAACAGTCAATACATAAATGAGTGTATTTTCGACTAGGGTCATCGTCGTCGTTTTGGGGTTAATAAATCTTCATTTGTGCTAATCTGGACGATTTTAGTTCGCGTCATGAAAATTGTAATGGTTCATCGTTTTTCAATTATAAATACTAAACAACGCGGACTTAACGAATATCGGTTATAAATTTATCTGTGAGGAATTCAGTGTGCTAAACAATGTCCAGGATAGTTCTTTGTTCCTTGTTGCACATGCTGTTTAATGACAGCCGGTAGACTTAAAGCAATTATGTTTGGAACGTATTCAAAATGGCCTTTCTGTAAAATCCGATCTTAGATAAAAGAAACCTACTAATAAGCTTGGGGCTCCTGTCTGCCGAATTTTCTTTCTGTACTTTCTCTTATGAACCATATTTTCGTCAGTTTCGATTGTCCTGGTTATGCTTCGAAAAGATAGGTCTAGATTTCATAGCATTTGGAACAAAGTTATCGACAGCATTGGTATCACTATACCTCTGTGATTTTCGTTAGATCATTCATTACAGTTACTTGGGTAACTGGTGTTTCTAAAATCCACTGAACAATTATCATCGTGATTTGCTTCAATAAGAATTCTCACACTCGAAAGATCCGTCCAGTTTTATTAATTTCTTTGTCCAACAAGTCTTCTGGCACAAAAATCCTTCATTTCGTCACTATATATCATATCTCCATTCCATTTAACGTCAACAATCACACGTTATATAGACTAGATTGAAGGCGTCTCTAAGTGACCTTGATCAACTTTAGCCAATCAGATCAGTTGATATAGATTAAGGGTATATTACACACGACCAAAACGTTAGAGTGGATACATTTCTTTAACATGGTTTAAAAAATTTCCAAGGTGAAAAAGAGGTGTTACAGTACTGAAATCGTAATGCATACAACACAAGAACTCATCCATTTGACTCCATAATAGTCGACCTTTGGAAACATAGTAAGGTCGCAAGAATTACTTCAGCATCGGCCGCATTACTTCTGTATTATTGACGTGTACTCCCGTGGTGTGGTCTGCGAAATATCGCTCGTGAACGACGGTACAATACACGTAACCAAGTCTAAATAAGCATCGATATGCTTTCCAGTCATCTGTGTATACCGTGGTGCCCGTCTGCTTATGCTCTCCTATGATTGGTATTATCGTTGTAGCCTTTCAGTTTTTCATGCGCTCAAAGTGTCCCTTTTGAGATATTCTATCATATATACCAAGGACCTGATAAATATACCTAAAGAAGAACTACTTACCCAGTTTTCTTTAAAACTTCCTCTATTGAATTTAAGTTTTCTGACGACTGTTTTGTCGATTTCTACGATTCTCCTGATTCCTCCAAACGACCGATGCAAGCTTTTGATTTTCATTGCATTTATTTCTCGACAGTACTCATGCCAGTGAACTGCCGAAGCTTCAGTAACATATGAAAAAGTTGCAACCAGTGTTACTTGTAA